TCATAGAGAGGATTTTCCTTGAGCGATTCCCATGATTGGGACTCATATCGCTCAATTCGTGTCTTTTCATCTAGGACACTCTCGTCCATAGATGAACTACTGAGAACTCTCTCGTTCTCAGTAAACACTGTTGCTGACCTTATGTCGGTTACATACTCGTCGTCAGCGACGAGTATGCAGATCTGCTTGACTTTGCCACTACGCAGATCACGCAAGAACCTTTTATGTTCGAGCGTTGGCAACTGAGTGATCTCCGAAGTTAACTTCGGAGGCGCAATCAGATCAAGTGTATAAGCGCCTACACATGATCCGTTATTGACTATGACATTCAATGTCTCTGTCATTTCCTGGGGACTTATTCCCTCAGGCTTCGAAGGACTTATTCCTTCGTCTTCCCGGGGACTTATTCCCGCGGGTTTCGGGGAACTTATTTCCGCCGTATTTGTAATCTTGGGACTTATTCCCTTTACTTCCTCTAGCTGGGGTTGCGCAACCACAGCGAGATCCTCTACGAAAGACTCTCCAGTCGATCTAGGATTATCGTTTCGCTTAACCTGAGCGATCGATTGTTTCTCTTCTAGATGTTCCCCTCTAGGGATACATCTTTGTCCCAGTCCACCCGACTTATTCGAGTGGTGGACCTTCGGCGCAGCCTGTGTTTCCTCACAGCCGCCGGAACTTGGCTCCGAAGTGTAACCGTTTGGTACACTAAGGTTTTGTGCAGTCGTACTAACGACCGTACCACAAGTGAGGCCATCGCACTCACTCGTAGTACATCCACACGCTTGTGGACGCTCCAAAACGTTCATCAGATGGCCATCTGATGAACAAGCGGCAGGCATCGTTACTGTCCGATGTTGCCAGTTTACCCGTGGTTCGTACCTTCTGAGCCACGGTATTCCAAGGATGACATCAAATTTGTCATCCAAATCCAATACGATAAAGTCATCGTCATATTGGGTATCTTCTAGCGTATAGTGAATCTTCACTATACGCTTCATGACGGTTACGGATGCGCCTGTCGCAAGACGTACCGTCATCCTCGTAGGGGGTGTGTCACATTCACTGAATTTAAAGTGACCATCTTCTAGCGATTGGCGTCGCACAAAATTGTTGGACGCCCCACAATCGACTAGAGCTCGAAGGGACAACTTATTCGTCACTTCGAGTTTCAAGGTAATGAGTGAGATCTCATTACCTAGAGCAGCAACGCACAATGTCTGTGTGTTGGGAGCAACCTTCATCAAGAGGCCTACAAATTCTCTTGACGTTGCTGGATCAGTAGGTGCTCCGCACCTACTGATCCTGTCCGTTTTTTGACGGTCCATCCTGTTGTTGCGTCTTTGCACCAACTGCGGACCCTCGTCCCTGCCCCTTTCTCATGGGTGGACGGTCACTACGCCCAGTGTCGCGAGACACTGGACGAGGGGCACTACACTCGTAAGCGTAGTGTCCTGTCTTTTGACATCTGTTGCATCTCTGCAACTTCTTGTAGCCTGTAGAGCGAGCCTTCTCGCTCTCTACATAACAGAGTTCCATCGGCTCTGGACCTCCGTTGTCATATTGTCTCGGTTGACGATATGATGTCGAGCTGGCGCGAGCCTGTCTCAGACTGAAGTCTTCCTGTTCCGCAATTGAAATGGCTTGTTCTAGTGAATCTAGTTCAAGCCGGAACAGGTGAGTCTTGACGGGACCATCCGCAAGACCCTGCATGAACACCGAAACCAACGTGTGTTCATCCACCGGATTGGAACTTATACAACTCGTGAGATGTCGTATATGTTGAGCGTAAGCGTGCACATCACGCTTACCCTGCTTGAGCTTCAAGAGTTCGGTTCGAGCTCTGAACTCAGCTCTAGGCGGTTCAAACGTTTGTCTGAGCCGCGACTTGAAGACTTCCAACGACCCAAACGCATATGGGTCGTGCAGCTTGAGCCCCAGTGCCCAAGTCTTGGCACGTCCTGCCAGATTTGACTGGGCAAATGCAACTTGCATATCCCCGTCGTCGATGCGACGCGCCCTTATGGCGTCATCCAATTCGACGAACCATCTCAAGAGGGAGTCTTCTTCGACCCCCTATACTTTGAGATGTCAATCTTCAAAGTCTCGGGCCGACGCGAGTGCATCGACCCGCCAGCAGCAGCCTGCTGCTGTCTCAACAGTTCAAACTGTTGAGCACCTTGTTCTCTCAACAACTCTGCTTGTTGAGAACCTTGTTGGTGAAGCAAGGCTACTTTCTCGCGTTCTGCGTCAAGTTCATTTTGAATGAACTTGGCGATAGTAGCATGTTGGGCATCTCTATTGAGAGCCTCTAGCATGACGCTAACAGCATGGATGCCCATGGTCGAACCCATTCGTTCAACCGCATCCCATTCGACATCGCTCAAATGGGAGTAGCCGTCACGCGTAGCGTGAAAGCTTTGGTCATCTTCATCATCCAACATATTCATGTTGGATGTGAACGCGGTCCTTGGACGGACTACGAAGTGCTACCAGGTGTAACGGGGCACCCTGAAGCTTGTACTGGTGACAGTACAAGCTACTTATTCTGATAACAGAATAAGGCGGTGCCTCGTAACTTCACGTACACTCGTACGTGCAGAGGAAGACGGTAAGAAGAAGCGAGTACTCGGTTAGAGTAAAAAGTAGAACTGTATTTATAATAGTTAATGTCTGCAATAAATCACTATTTATCTTCATCTAACTATGTCTAAATACAAATGTGTAAATCAGTTATCTGCTCACCACTCATTGCGTGCGTCTGTCGTGGCGCGTCTTCGTTGGTTGATATAATGGTCTATATCAACCAATTAGGAACTACTCGTAAGTGCTACAGAATATTTGTCCTTATGACAATATTCTGTGAATATAACTCTTATAGTTATATTCTATTAACAATTTCTTATAAATTGTTATGTAACGATTCACCCCGTTACAGAAGTCGTCTTTCGCGTTTTTAACGAAGTGTACAGATCACATCTGCTTTTTCACTGAATCAGGCACATGTATGTCGTATCCTCGGGCTTTCGCTTCGGTGTCATTACCCGAAGTGCACGCTGGCGTATGAGCACAAAAACCATTTCAATGATGTATGTTGGCTTCAACCGTGGAAGATTTTTTTGTTGTTATGCAATTAAAAAAAAACAAATGATACGACACTATGGCTACGCAGTCCAGCGCGCTTGAACCATATTTCTATACATCATCTGGATCATATCAATCTCGTCGACGAGAGAGCAAACATGGTCATTCCAAGTCAGTGGGGGTACAAGTCATTTTATAAGGTCACCATTCCCTCGCCGAACGCGCATTCCTCTTTTATGTCTCCACACATACTTCTCATACTTTTACTCATTCAGTCGCCGTGCTTCCTGCTGTTTTAGTGCCACAGTAATGGCGGCCTCGTTGTTGTTTTCTAGTCCGCCAGGATGGCAGTCGCCGTGTCATGACCTGTCTCCACCCGCTGTGCATTCCAATATATCAAAAACTTGTCGGGTTCGCAAGGCATATGTTTGCTGGTAATAGGTCCTTGTTGGCGATCCAGTCGAACTGGTGCGGTCCCAAGTTCGTTGCTTTGAGTAATTCGCCAACGTGCAAGAATGCTTTACCGTCTAAAATTTGAGATTATGTATTTGGGTCTACAAGCTCAATCAAAAAATTAACGGACGTATCTCGCGCGCTTTCAGCGCTGTAGCGCTACGTGAGCATGCGGAATTGGAAAATGTGGTACTCACATTACTTTCTAATTGCAGATATAATTGTATTTGATGGTAAGACGTACACCATTCGAATCCGATGGCATGCCAGCCTTAGTAGCTAAACACTGGTATTCTCGCACTCTGCTGCATAGACTCTCCTCATTACCTCGCGCATGTCATCTCCTCATCGTCGCAGCGCACCCACAGCTTCTGAGATTTTCGTGGGCGATCCCTCCAAGCGGTGCTCGAACGGTAAGCCTCTAGATTCACGAAAAAAAGTGAAGCAATCATGCAACCATAGTCAGTACATCACAGCTCATTAAGTCTGGCCGGGATTATGGATCAAGACGAGGCAACTCAAAGTGCACCATGCAGCGCGACTCGAGTACAACACCTGCCCAAAGCAACCAGACTGTCGGGGGGCATTGATGCTCTTATTCTTGAGCTACCCGCATGCAGAACTGGTTTGGAACAAGCAGGTCGCAAACTGGACGGGGGAGCTCTCATTTCTCTAGCAAACCTAAAAGTACTTTAACACGCACTCCTTTCTTTAGCAAAATCAAAAGTTTTTGTAGCACGTAGCCAGCGGACGCATCATCAGCATACCCGTGCACGGGTAGGCCTACTCCTAGTATACTGGACTTGGGGGGATCGGGAAGCAGCTGACGGATGTACAAGCAAAATTTGGCACATTCTCGTGATGACCTGTCGAATTGAACTTTTGACTGACTAGACAACGCGGTCTATCAGGCAGCCGCGCAAGACATCACAAGCATCTCAACAAGTTCATGAGCTACAGGCATCTGCCAACTCGCGCAATTACGACACGACAAATTTGTGGAGTGCCTTCTACTATTAAGAGTGCCATGCCGTATGCAAGCATCAAGTAACTCAAGCACGCACCGAGAGAGTCACCACATATTACTGGGGCCGTCCCCAGTCAGCCTTCCTCCGGCTTCTGACATCATGGCTCAAATTTGCATGAAGCTAAATTCCGTGTAAATAGACCATTGAAATAAAAATAACGAAGCGCATGTGTGCGGAAACACATCTGTGAGCATGCGCGCAGGAAATTGCACGAATAACGAGAAGCACCTGAGTTTATCTCGATAGTGATGAAACAGGTTACAGACTACAGTGGACTGAACTTGCATACAACAAAGGTTCTACAGTATATTTACACCCTATTCATGCGATAGGGCATGCAAGAGAACGTCAGAAGTACATCTAACGTTGTGTGACTCACATTGTGTGACTCACGTTGTGCTATACTGGCGTCAGCACTCGCATACCCGCTGTCACCTACCCGTTCAGACTCAGGCCGTGTCGCTCTAGAAATTTCTTTCTCCAGGGAGTTGACGCCGTAAAGAGCGTGCTATCAATTCCCAGCTCCTTAGCTACCTCCAAGGCATGCTCAGACACCATGGCTCCGGTTACAGGCACGCCCAGCTTTTGCAGCGACCGCAGCCAGACGACGATGCACTTCTCAGCATCACTGCTGAGTGTAAGGCCGAGTCCTGGCTTGCGCAGCCGATGCGCCTTAGCAGAATTGGCGGACTCACAGGCTTTTGCGATCTTGTCGCGGTCCTTGACCCAACTGTAGATGACGCGCTTTTTGCTGCGTTGAGCTTGCACAGAAAGTGCCGGGAAAAAGTGCTCCACGGTCGACGTCATGTCGCCACCTTCTTCGAAGTGCTTGATCGTCGCCAGCCGCGTCTCGAACGTGGTGGACGTGCGGACGTTTTTGCGCTCCTTGCGCCCACCGCCTTTTTTTAGCGGCTGCCGTCCCATCACTGTATTTTACGTGTTTTTTGGGACTATGTTTCCGAAAGCACATAACTGCCACGTAAATCAAGGAAATAGTCCCAAGTGGACTATTTTTAGGAATTGTTAGATTCAATCGCTTTTTGGTTTGTTTCACTTTATTTTCTTTTGTTAAGTAAACACGTGTAGTAATAAGCTGTCATTACTTTAAATTGGGAAACGTACCCACCCCCTACGTTTTCATTAACCACCCCCATCCCCTATATATTACCGTAATTTACTCGATGGACGCGTTCCGATTAGTAGAATTGAATAGTTCACCGGTTTAAGCAGTAATTTACTATTTCATTGACAAATGATAAAATACTAAATCAAGATAATTGATGCATGTCTGTAAGTCGGCGACGTGTGTTAATTAACATGTCAGATAACGCGATTATCCTGGATGGACACTGTAACAAAGGCTTTCATTAATGCTACATTCGAAATTAATTTTAAGCCTCGTGCTTATACTAGCCCTTATGCGCTTGATCGTTCTCGTTTCTGGTACTTCGTTAACAGCAACTGGCTTGTACTTTTTTCCCTGTGAACACCATAGAATAATACGTTTTATTGCGCCATCTTTCCTATTACCTACCTTTTCGGTACGGTTGATCATTAGGACATAGCCTTAAGCTCTTGCATGTTCATTAAGTGCCTTTCGGACTTCCTCTAGAGTATCGTTTGTAGTTTCAGGAGGTGGTAGCAGAGCCATATTAGAATGACAGACTACGGTATTTAAGCGCTGAAAAAAAATATTCATCAATTGAAAAAAAAAAGTGTAAGCGATTACATGATGCAATTATTGTGTTGGAATTGGCTTTCAGTATTTCGCAATATGACATTTTATTTTTAATCGATTAAAAATATGGAAGGTATATATATTACGGTAATATATAGGGGATGAGGCGGTTAACGAAAACCTGGGGGTGGTTAACGTCTCCCTTCAAATTTTGGGCTAAGTACACTTGTTTAATCCCTGATAAAATCGTACCCTCGCAAGCCAATTTTTATTAGAAATACGACATCGCCCAAAGGCCAAGCGGACCCACCAGTTGCCATTGCACTTTAAAAGGTTGATTTTTAGGGGAATAGGACAGAGGATAACTCTTGCGAAAAATACAATCCCATTACTGTGTGCATGCTGGATAAGCAGCGTCTACGTCTTGAGAAAATATAATATTTACTTACTTCTCTTTCGAAAGTACGTCAAGGCCACAATACTGTACACTTAAGAGCAAACACCTTTCCAAGTATACTAAATAGGTAAGACGGTCTCGAGATGCTCCGAATAGCATTCAGCAAACACAAAATCAACATTACAAAACAGATGGAACCAAAAAATGGAAAAAAGGGAAGCGTATGCTGAACGCTTACTAACAAAGGCCGATTGCGTTGCCCAATTATACTGTACTGAGGTATTACAGACACTTAAAAGCACCATACTCATTCTTCAGGCGTGGGCCCCTGGTGTAGTGGCGCAGTAAGCTGACTTCCAAGTCACTGATTGCGAGTTCGAACCCCCCCTCCGGTGCTAAATGTATCGGACTTAAGGGGAGGGCGAAACCGGTAGTTGGGGCGGGTGAACGGCTGAACAACCATGCCTTCCACCAACAAACCATCTGGGAGATGCCGTAAACAAGTATAATGTGACGAATTCAACTATACTCAATCTTCAGTGAATACTATTGTTGAGTGTTTTTCAACCAATTGTATTTTCCAAACTGGATTACTTTCATCAAAGGGACAGATCCAGAGCTTCCTCCCCTACTTTAGCTCCATAAAGCAGGTTTCCATTATGTCAAGTGATCGGACCGAGTGAGAGCATAAAAATAATGCGTTTTAAAAACCGTGCCGAGAAGAATTTGCTAGTCACTGTGTTGAAGAAAAGAGATCTGCGTACACAATGCACGCAGTAAACCTTTTTTTACCGGCTGCTGAAGAGGTTCTCGGCCTAAGATTCGTCTCAATAGGAGCACCTGTGTACGACTGTGTCACGCTATTGGCAGAGAGATCGCAAATTATTATTAGTACAACGCGGAACACCCGTGCAACAAGGACCTCCATGCAAAACTATCGTGGTTGCAAACCAAGTAAACAGGAGTTGCACTTGTCCTTAACTTTCCCCCAGCTATTTTTACCTTCTCAAAAAACGCCCACACCGGAAGATGAAGACGTCGTATTGTAGTCAGTTTGGACCTGCAAATCGCAAAGAATGTGTTAGAATTAGTAGCATTACAGAGAAGGCGTACATGAAGCTTTGCGAGGGAACAGTGGACCTTTAAGACTGATTGCGTGCATGAAAGTTCCAATTCGTGCCAAATCTTCTTCATATTTGGGGCAAGGCTATTACGAGTAAACGACGGACGGTGAATGTGGTTGCAGCACAACTTCCCATTTCAAACCTTGACTGGTCATCAATAATTATTGGTAAAAGACCGTTTATAAATGAGGCCTTGTTTTAAAGTTTTTTTACGATTTAAAAAAGTAAAACACTACTGGCAAGGACTTTTTATCAAGATCCCGACTCTAAGCGCGCAAAAGCCAAAGCTGGGCACAAATATGACACCACCCTTTACGTCGCCAAGGGGGAGCATCACATCTATAAACTTATAGAAAGGTAAAAAAACACTGGGCTCAGCCAATTCCTTCACTGTCGGATATCGAGAAATTAGCTGAATTAGTAAAAACTCGGCTGGCATGTTTCGAGACGAATGTGAGTGGACCAGCTACTCCATACACATAACATGTAATGGGTCCGCTACATGTGAGGGAGTGACACTGAGAAAGTTTCACTTCAACTTGTGATCTGATCCAAAAAAACTGGCCTGTAATTTAAATCTTCTGCGCGGGTAAGGGCTACATCAATCCTTTTATGTGTGAGCTGCTCGCTCGGATAAAGTGCTGCGCCCGAAAATTGTTACGTCGACGGCCTCCCTTGACCAATGATTGGGCAGAACCAATTTATACACTCCGCGCCAGGTAATATCGTACACCTGTACTTTGATCCACTGCTCAGTCAGTTTTACAAATTAGCCGTTGCTATTTAAATATGTAGTGTATTTTATGATAGAAACACCCTATGTGTGGTAACGATTGCGAAGTTAGAATTAACCAGGTTGCGGAGCTGATGAGAAGAAGAAGATGGCTTACGGCCGGGGATTAAAACCGAAAAGTGAGTTGTATTCAAATTGTTCCTAGCTTTGAAAACGAATGGCTAGTAGTAGCCGGTGGCTCTCAGCCACCTATTTTGTGCCCTGTCTCCACCGCTATCCGTTTTACCTATCACTGGGTAATAACGTCCCGTAAATACCTTTCGTAAAAACTCTGCTGTGTCATATGCAGAATGAAAACGATTGCGTGGGTGGGGGACGTAACTGCGGGTGGGTCACAGTTCTGGTGAACCCCAAACACCAGGTCGTGAGTGTCAGTCACAATTAACTTGTTCACGGCGGGGATCGAACCCGCACTCACCCGCGTGGAATGCCCCTTCCCAAACGACTGAGCCAATCCGATGACTTGTCCTTGCGATGACATCCACAATATAAACCTGCCAAAGAGCAATACAACTAATGCAAATATGCAATATACACCCTGCACAAGTCGCCGCATCATCACTCGCTAACACTCTCCCTTGATGTGCGTGCGACGTGTGCGCCCTACACCGCCATGCACAGACCCGTGATGAACTTGCGGTGCTTGTCTCTTGGAAGTGCCTTGGTGAATCCATCCGCGACCATTTCTTATGTCGGCTTGAACTCTAGCGCGATCACTGCACTTGCAACCTTTTCACGCAAAATATGAAACTTGATGTCGATGTGCTTCGTGCGCGAGTGGTACACAGGATTCTTGGCCAGCGCGATACAGCCTTGATTGTCTTGAAAAATCGTCGTCGCGTTCTTGGCACAGTAGTTCAGGTCCTTGAGCAGACCTCGAAGCCAAATTGCTTCCTGCGTCGCGCTGTACAGACTCATGTACTCTGCTTCCGTACTTGAGGTCGCGACCGTTGGTTGACGCTTCGAGTTCCACGATATCACGCTTCCGTTCAGGAAGAAAACGTATCCTGTTGTCGACCGCCGAGTGTCAAGGTCGCCAGCCCAGTTTGCATCCGCAAATATAATCAGCTCTCCCTTGTTGATGCCGCTGAAAACGATGCTTAAGTCTTGAGTCGTCTTGAGATACTTGAGAATCCGCTTTGCTGCTGTCCAATGCGACTTGTCGTAGCGCTCGCAAAACTTCGCAACTTCGCCAACCGCATGCGCAATGTCCGGTCGTGTACATGTGGCGATGTACATTAAAGCGCCCACCAGCTCACGGTATGGGTACTTTGGTACAAACGCTTCCTCTTGACCCATCTTGATCAGCTTCGAGTTACTGTCCGCTGGCGTGTGCACGTCCTTGCAGTTCTCAACGCCGAACTTCTCCGACAGTCGCTTGATGTACGCCTTCTGGTTCATCTTGATCGTTCCATCTTCGCGATTGCGATGAATCTCGATCCCGAGGCAGTACTTGAGATCTCCAAGATCTTTAATGCTGAAATCTTCCATCAATGAGCTCTTGATACTTGCGATGTGCTCCTTCGTCTTGCAGAAAATCATCAAGTCGTCCACGTAGATCACGATGATGCTGTACTCCTCTCTTGTCACTCGAACGAACACACACGGGTCCGCTGTACTGCTCTTGAACCCTTGATCAACCAAGTGCTGACTCAACTTGTTGTTCCACTGCCGCGCCGCTTGCTTCGTCCCGTATAGCGCCTTCTGCAGCAAACAGTTCTTATTCGGGCTTCCTTCATCTTCAAAACCGTCAGGTTGGTCCATGTAGATCTCCTCTTCCACTTCGCCGTAGAGAAACGCTGTGTCGACATCAACGTTTTCTGCTTCCAGGTCTTCAGCTGCAGCGATCGCCAACACTGTGTTGATAGATTCCTTCCGCGCCACTGGTGCGAAGGTCTCGTTGTAGTCGATGCCAGGACGCTGCGTGAACCCTTTCGCAACCAAACGTGCCTTGAACTTGACAATCTCGCCACTTGGATCGCGTTTAATCTTGAAGACCCACTTGCAGCCAACGGACTTCTTGCCCGGTGGCATGTCCACTAGCTTCCATGTGCTGTGTTCTTCAAGCGACTTCATCTCACTCTTCATTGCCTGGAGCCACTGCTTCTTGTAGCCGCTCTTCATCACTTCTTAATAGCTGGACGCTTCTTCCCCATCTTCTTCAGCCGAGAAACAGTAGAAAGAGTCGAAGTCACCTTCGTAGTCGTCCAAATTGAAGCGACCGCGACGATGGCTCGGAAATTCTTGTTCGTAGCGAACCACGCCGCGCTTCTTCCGAACCGGTCGCACCATCCACTCTTCTTCTCCATTTCTTCCGGGTGTGCTGGATGCGCGCGTAGGAATGGTGTCGCTTGGTCGATCACTTGGTCCGGGATGAGAGCTGTTCTGCGCTCGAAGTGGTGGGGTGCGCAGCTCTTCTTCGGTCACCGGCGCTGGTATGTCTTCATCATCGGGTAGCGACGCCTCCACACTTTCCTCTTCTTCAATGACATCAAAGACCCGCGTGTCTCTGCTTTTTGATGCTTTCGAGACAGAATGCTCAGCGAACGTGAGTGCGCTTCTTGAAATCACGATTGAGCCATCGTCCGCGTTGAGAAGCCGATACGCCTTTTGGTCCTTCGCATAGCCGAGAAAGAAACATCGCACGCCTGAGTCGTCCAGCTTCTTTCTCTTCTCCTTCGCCACATGCGCATAGCATTGCGCACCAAACACGCGCATGTGATCGATGCGCGGAATCTTCTTGAACACCATCTCGTGTGGGCTTGAGTTCTTGTTCGACGCGTTCGGCAGAATGTTTCTGATGTCTGCCGCTGTCATCAGTGCCTCGCACCAATAGGACTTGTCGAGGCCGCTTTCCTTGAGCATACAGCGCGTCATCTCCACCAGCGTGCGGTTCATCCGCTCCGCCATCCCGTTCTGCTCTGGATTGTACGGAACCGTGAACTTTTGCTTAATGAACTTTGCCTTGCAAAAGCTGTTCATCGTTTCGTTCCGGTATTCGCCGCCGTTGTCACTTCGCAACACCTTTATCTTCGTTCCAGATGCTGTCTTGACATCTTGGTAAAACCGCTTGAACGCACTCGCAACGTCGCTCTTCTTTCGCAACGGATAGACCGTTACATACCTGCTTTTCATCAGGATGAAGGTTACGGCGTAACTGAAACCAGACTTGGACGCTGGCGTGATAGGTCCGAGAACGTCGGAGCACACCACCACGTCGGAACGCGAACTCTCCCTGGTTTCAGCGTCTTCTTCACTTGTCTTGAATGACTTGCGCACTTGCTTTGACGTTGCGCATACGTCACACGCAACGTTCGTCTTCATCGTTGCGCCCTTGATCCTTCCGTCCTTGACCATGGCATTCAGCGTACCATACGACAAGTGGCCCAGTCTTCTATGCCACAGCTCTGTATCGTCTTCGGCCATGTGGCACTCCGTACCATAGTCAGCGTTGAGATACAGGAGGAAACCCTGCTTCCTTCCTGTTGCGACGGGTTTGCCGCCTCGCTTCACCACGCACTCGTTGCGCGTTATCTCCACTGTCATGCCGCGCGCTGCCGCAGCCGTGAGCGAAAACAGGTTCTTTGACAAATCTTGAACGTGAAGTGTGTTCTCAAGGCGAGCGTCGATCCACGCATGCCCTGTCCAGACGCGCAGCTTCACTGTCCCATGTCCAATGACGTTCAGCTTCACGTCGCTCTTTGCGCTTGAAATACTGCGCGCATGATGCACTTCTTCGTACTCTTCGAACGCATCTCGATCCTTGCACACGTGTGCTGACGCGCCACTGTCCATGACCCAGCTGTCGCTCGCTAAACCTTCGCAAGCATTAAACGCGACGTTTGACTGGTCATGCTGGTGCTCCCTTGGTCCTCGACCGGAGCAACAATCTCTGGCGTAGTGTCCGACCTTGCCACAGTTGTAGCAGGTCCCTGATGGTCCCTTCGCGCGCCGTACTTGTTGCTTCTTCGGGTACTGCTTACCCTTCCTCTTGCCTGCGTAGAGCGCCGTAGCATCTTCTACCCGTGCAGCCTCATTCTGGCGCACTTCTTCGGCGATCAACTTGCTCACGAGGTCACTGAAACTGAAGCTTGCGACGGACATGCGGAATGCCTGTACCAAGCTCTCGAAGCTTGAAGGTAGACTCCGCAACAGTACTGCGCACACGTCCTCTTCACTCGGACCGCAGTTCGCGCGCTTCATCTTCATCACGAGGTCCTCCAGCTCCATGACATGACCGCTCATGCTTGAAGCTGCATACTTGAACGAGGCGAACTTTTCCTTCAGCCAAAGTCGATTCGCCATGTCATGACTGTGATGAAATCGCGCCAGACGTCCCCACGCTTCTCTTGCGGTGGCCGAGTCGATGACATGCATCAACTGCGAATCGCTCAGATTTAGCACGATCGCGGCGTGGGCTTGCTGTTCCTTGGCCTCACTTGTTGTCTCATCGCCCGCGATCGCGCCCCACAGCCCCTTCGACATCAGGTACATCTTCATCTTGTAACTCCACAACCCATAGTTCGAGCCGTCGAAAGGCTCGACCTTGAAACCGGAGTCGTTCTTTGGGCTCATAACCTTTTAGAATTAACCAGGTTGCGGAGCTGATGAGAAGAAGAAGATGGCTTACGGCCGGGGATTAAAACCGAAAAGTGAGTTGTATTCAAATTGTTCCTAGCTTTGAAAACGAATGGCTAGTAGTAGCCGGTGGCTCTCAGCCACCTATTTTGTGCCCTGTCTCCACCGCTATCCGTTTTACCTATCACTGGGTAATAACGTCCCGTAAATACCTTTCGTAAAAACTCTGCTGTGTCATATGCAGAATGAAAACGATTGCGTGGGTGGGGGACGTAACTGCGGGCGGGTCACAGTTCTGGTGAACCCCAAACACCAGGTCGTGAGTGTCAGTCACAATTAACTTGTTCACGGCAGGGATCGAACCCACACCCGCGTGGAATGCCCCTTCCCAAACGACTGAGCCAATCCGATGACTTGTCGTTGCGATGACATCCACAATATAAACCTGCCAAAGAGCAATACAACTAATGCAAATATGCAATATACACCCTGCACAAGTCGCCGCATCATCACTCGCTAACATGCGATTTAGCAAAGCGTAAGGGGCATCACATACAAATGACTGGTTTTGCCAATGCGACATAGAAACCATACAAAATGGCATGCATTTTAAGTATTAAAGAATAATTAAAGACTCACTGTATTTTATAAAAAGTTTATTGACCTTCTTCTCGATGACCTCAATGCATCGTCGCGGCATCGAACGAACAAGCGACACAAGTATGGCGTCTGGAAGTGCATTCCAAGCTTCAATTAGCGCAGCCTTTAGCTCAGACACGCGCTCGAACTGTGTTCCATTGGCGTACACTTGCCTGCTACTGATGGATCACAAATTCTTGATGGGGTTGAGATCAGGTGACTTTGGTGGCCAGTCAAGCACCTGAAAACCCGATTCACTCAAGAATTTGCAGCTACGGTGTGAAAAATGAATGCTTGCGTTGTCCTGTTGAAAAATAAAAGCTGTACCATACTTCAGATGCGCAAATGGTAGAAGATATTCAAACACTGTATAAACAGAGTCATCCGAATTCTGCCTCCCCGTCAGCACAACAAGTGGAGACGTGCCACGGGCGCTAAAACAAACTAAACCATGATGGACCCACCTCCATCTTGACGACTCTTCGTCTGGCCGACGGACTGGCGCACATCTCTCCGGTAGTGCTGAAAGCCGTCGGGCCCGTCAAGTTTCTATTTTTTCACGTCCGAGAAAATAATGGAGTCCCAGACGGACCCGGCATCCTCATGCAATAGCATGTCCTTGGCCCAGGATTTGCGCGCACCTATGTCCGCGACCGTGAGCGGCAACGTGTTTAATATCTTGGCGTAAACAAGCCAATCGACATCAGCCAAAATGCGTTGCACGGTGCGGACGGACACCGGCAGGCTTAGCTCGACCTTGAGCTGGGCGGCGTACAGGTTTCCTGAGCAGAGGTACGCAAGAGGGGTCGCACGTGGCGCTTCGGGAGAAGCGGAGCGGGTCCTCGGTATTTCATCTGTAGAGGAGAAATAGGGATACTACTCAACGTATAGTTTTAAGGCTCCTTGAGGTGACAGTCTTGATGGCACGCAAACTCAGTCTAGCCTCTCGAAGCCCCACTATCCTTCCCCGCTCTTGGTCGGTATGGCTTGGCTTCTTGTTGCCATTCCCGTCGATATGAGCCGCCTACATCGTGTTACCAAATGCTTGTGCCGCTACTATCAACCCAGTGATACAATTGTACTGATACATCATACTCAAAACTTGTATGCTATTTTGTACGATTTTACATGTCGCAGTGGCAAAACCAGTCATTTGTATGTGAGACCCCTTACGCTTTACGAAATCGCAATCGTTAACACGCATAGGGTGTTTTCATTCTAAAATACATTACATTTTTAAATAGCACACGCTAATTCGTAAAACTGACTGAGCAGTGTATAAAAGTACAGGTGTACGATATACCTGGCGCGGAGTGTAAGAAGTTTAATGTCAAATGTATGACATGTCGTCGGGTACTCTTGAACACCTGTACATTGATAGAGCAGCTCCAGCAGCGCCATTGTCGGCCCATGCAGGGCCATCTGGTTTCGGTTTTCAACGAGACTGTCGCTACTATCTACCGCCCATGAAAGATATCTTTACGTAGAAAGCATAGCTTATAGATTTAGACTGCTTGATTGTATTTTGCCTAAACTGCTTAAAGTGCAGAAGCAAGCCTAAAAGTTGCCCTATGTGTGTAGTATCGCTATTCTGCAACCCGACGCTGCACATCAGCTCCCATCAACAGCGATTGTGTCACATGCTCCAAAAATCCCAAGTTTTTATCACGCGCACGAGGTCCCTTCATGATCAATTTTATTATGCATATCGATTTGCCTCCGTGCTTTTAAGGCAAATCGTCACTACCGCTATCTGACACTCCCCAATCTGCAGATCAGTGACCCGAGGTCAGGGCGGAGTATGATTAGTTTAGCGTTAGCAAATGCGAGCGCAATGCCAAAATCTTGCTCGCCTCCACCAGGAGGAGGGGAAGACAAGGTAGGCGATTTGCAGGACGCGGGCGCCAAGGCGGACACACTCACCGGCATCCACGCTGGGGATACGTCCACGACATTAGACGGAAGGGCAGACACACACCGATCGGCACAGGGGTGGACGTAGGCGCCGGACAGTCTGGACGGGATTACCTCGCTGAAAATTTGTCTGATGGTCAGCTTCAGGCAGATACCAACGAACCGAAGAATTTGCCCGCGCACGCGGGGGCAAAGATCGGCGGCTCGAGCCACACCAGACACACCAGCGGGACAGGTCCGGGTGGGGACGGGGAGAGCAGCACTGATGCTTAGCCCCGGTCTACGCCATCAGAGAGGTCTCCGCAGACTACTCCCGGGAGGACGCCCGGTTCGCCTTCCGTATCGTCAAGCGAGATGTTTGCCGCTTTGATAGAGTAAATGGCAGAAACCCCTCGGGGAGGGCCTGTGCAAGCGTGGTGCGACACATTCGACACCTTTTCGCGGAGGTGTATCACGCAGTACCAGTGCGATCAGAGGAGCTGCCGGCTGATCGACACAGATTTCCTTCGCTGAATGCAGCCGAAGCAAGTCTATTACTGTGTCTGTTTGAGCAGGCTCACGTTCAGCGACGAGGCGGCTTTACTCAGTGGAAAAAAAGTGGCCATGGAGGTCACACGCGAACTGTTTACCACAAAGTGGGCTTTTAAGGAAATTTTACGTCGCTTTGCAAGCCAGCATAAGTGGTCCCATGCACCGGCCCTGATAAAGTGGGCTCAGGTGGTTTGAAACGGGCGAGGCATCACCGACTCCTGACCAACCCCGCGAGAGCAAAGGGAATCCCTGGTTCGAGGAGTATATGTTTGGTCCATCATCTTTCTCGGTGGAAGCTATTGCTCGTCTACGAGCTCTTTGTGGAGCCTCAGAGACTCGCACAAGGCAGTAACAGATCCGGGAAGGTGCTGATGATGAGTGGGCAGAAATCGCTAGATTGGTGGAAGGCACCGTGGCATGCCGGCGAATGCCGGATTTTGATAAACTAGTTCTCAAAATTGGGGAACGGCTGCGCCTATACAGCACTATCCAGGTCCAAGTCGAAGGTGAGCTAACTCTTCAGTTAGACCGATCTCGCAGCATCAGGGTGAGCAAAAAAACAACTAAGGCCATTACTGAGACTATAACGGAATCGGCAGAGCTTATGCGGGTTGACCTAAGCGATGTCCACCTAATGCTTAGTCAAACGAAGACGATCAGCTATGATCACGTCAACAAAACCGTACACTTCTTTTTTTTATGCGGACTACAGCGCCCGTCACAAGTGGTCCAGGTGCCCCGTCTACGGGAGACTGTATCGTCTCCAGAATGCTCCTGACATGATACGGGTTTGGATTGGCAGCGGCAGACAGGGCTCAATGGGTTTCATTCCGGGAAGCGCGAGGGCTTAACCGTTGACGTACGTAATCTAACGCGTTTTAGTGACGTTGGCAAAATTGCGGCGTTTTTAAGGGGGAAATATTAATTGACTTTGATGTGGAAGACATAAACACGCACATCCCGAATTTGAGGATATCAACTATATGGAGGATAAAGTTTAAGCTAGCAGGCTTTCCGACCTTTCTGGATGGCGTTGTGCGTCTCATCTGGTTTGGCACAACGAAATTTCTCAAGCACCCGAATGTTGATCATAGGTTGCAGTGCCTTCAATGTGGCAACCTCGGGCACACACTTGTACGGTGCAGCTTTACGGACGCACAGTTACGAGGAACAGGTGGGATTGTCGTGACCGAAGGGGACGTGCGGGACACGGAAGACCTTGCAAAACCTTTCTCCAGTATAGCGGAGCTCAAATCCATGGCGTCGCAACGACTACAGATCCAGAGAAGTGCAGAGCAGGAATCTCAGGCTGCGGTTACACCAATTGGCCTCAGTGTAGCATTAAGGATGTCACCTGGCAGACACTAGACGTCACCACCCGACATCAGCAGTGCTCCGCAGGATGAGCAAGGAAAGATATACGAGCACATTCAGCCTCAACCGAAACTGGATTGAGCAGCAACCTTGGCTCTTAGGATCTTTTCAATGGAGGGCACTCTAAAGGTCCACGCGCCCGTGCATCTCTATCGCGACCATTTTTGGCGTCGGGACAATTGTCAGTCTTGGAGGAGGACGACAAGGCGACGACAGCAACTTCTCATGGCCAAAGTGATTACACGGTCCCTCGATATGGCCCCGATGTAGTTTTTTTTTTTTTGATTTGCCTGTAGATGAGGCAAATAATTACGAGGAGAAGCCCCGGGCATCTTTCATCAGATGGGCAGAACAGAAAAGCAGCCGGACATCAGAGGGGCACGGCTCCAGTATCAACAGTGCCGGTGTTACTGACCCTGAAGCGCCATGAGAGGGTGTCATTTTGCAAAATGCTTGCGAGTGTGCAGCATCAGGCTTCTGCGGCTCTACCACTGGGAGCTCGGTCGTCGAATGCTCCGACAGAATAAGCTGACGTGGAATTGCAATTGGTAATTCGCTCAGTTGTCACCTAGGCAACAGGTAACTGCCTCGCTATGGCTATCGCGCAATCGGCAACAGATGCTAATCTGGATGCTCCATATAGGTCTCTGGAGATTCCCGGCTTCTTCTATACGTGGTATCAAGTATACGGGGCTCATCGATCTTGATTTCAGCTTGCTCACGATGATCGTGCTCATTTGTTAAAAACGTCGGACGGGGGTGGTCAGGGATGTCACGCGTTGAGTCGTCCTCTCAGGTTCGGTGGTATCTGGAAGATTATGCGTCTACTTATATAGCCAGAATCGATGTAGTGCCCCAAGACACGTGGCGGACAAGGAAAACAGTAGAAAAGGCTGCCACTTTTTTTGCAATAAACCATCTTTGTAAATTAGCGCCCAGATCATCAGTCAATCGGTTGGAGATGCTCAAAGTTTGTTCCAACCACGGTCTCTTGGCACAATCGAGTAACCGAGACAGCAGCAGAATATCCGCATTCCTTTTTAGCACTTATGGATGAGACCGTCTGTAAAAAGATCGAGACACCAGCATGCCCTCCGCTCATTATACAGTATAGCATGCGACATTGTTCGGCATTTCTTCACTCCAGTCGTACTGGTCGGCTCCCAGCCTTTGAAGCGGACATGGACCTGCTCGAGTCGCCAGCCTCGGAACTACAAGATTATCGGACCTGTACACAACTCGTACATATGGGGACGGCACACACCCCACGACGACGGCAGCTGAGATGGCAGTCACTACTATTCTGACTAGTGCTCCACCTGACGACGGACGAGCCAGCTCCACGGACGTGGAAATTCGAACGGACCACATCCAACAACTTGTAGTGGTTGAGCGCAGGATGCTTTTACCTTATCCCTCACTAACTCCTCCAATTAGGCCACTTCGACTCCCGCCACCGGATCGCAAAACGGAACATCAGCTCATCACCCGAGCAGATAGGCTCACCTGGGACGAATGTGCCGTAAATGCAAAACGCAACTCGATCAAAAAAGGGACGTGTTGGGTCATACCCTCGACGATACAAGATCGTGACGACGGATACGACCGCATAGATCGGGGAGATTGGGCCTCTGCATGGGAGAGGCTGGAAGCGAACAGGCCCAGTACCAAGAATTTTTCTTCTTACAGTGCGGATAGCCCCACTTCTTAGTGGCAACAAGTTGCCCGACATGCACCGGACTATTTACTCTGGCTGGTTAAGAAATTTATGTGGCCGGGGGAGCTCCTGCAAATATCGGAATTATCGGTTATCAATATGTGGATGACTGAGATTAGAAGGGCATGTGTCGATGATTCGTTGAGGCGATACAGAGCAATACCTATGGATTGGCTAACGCAAGATTGGATGGATCGCTGGCTCGATAAAACGTACCAAAGGGATCATTCCGTGCTAGCGCCGCTCGTGGACAATGCAGACGATGAATCCAAAATGAAAGCTAACAATTACGCTGGAGACGACCTGCTTCGGTTGCGTGATCCCCAGCGCCGAACACGGCTCATTCACCACCTGCTTTGTGCACTTATCTACGAACATGAGATAGCAGCTCTAGTAGGTGGCTTGCCATCTGTTACAAGGGTGCCTGACAAAATGCGTGCTCACCTGAAGCTTATATCGACCAGTGCTAGCTATAAGGAGGCTGTAACGGGGTGAATCGTTACATAACAATTTATAAGAAATTGTTAATAGAATATAACTATAAGAGTTATATTCACAGAATATTGTCATAAGGACAATATTCTGTAGCACTTCCAAGTAGTTCCTAATTGGTTGATATAGGCCATTATATCAACCAACGAAGACGCGCCACGACAGACGCACGCAATGAGTGGTGAGCAGATAACTGATTTACACATTTGTATTTAGACATAGTTAGATGAAGATAAATAGTGATTTATTGCAGACATTAACTATTATAAATACAGTTCTACTTTTACTCTAACCGAGTACTCGCTTCTTCTTACCGTCTTCCTCTGCACGTACGAGTGTACGTGAAGTTACGAGGCACCGCCTTATTCTGTCATCAGAATAAGTAGCTTGTACTGTCACCAGTACAAGCTTCAGGGTGCCCCGTTACACCTGGTAGCACTTTGTAGTCCGTCCAAGGACCGCGTTCACATCCAACATGAATATGTTGGATGATGAAGATGACCAAAGCTTTCACGCTACGCGTGACGGCTACTCCCATTTGAGCGATGTCGAATGGGATGCGGTTGAACGAATGGGTTCGACCATGGGCATCCATGCTGTTAGCGTCATGCTAGAGGCTCTCAATAGAGATGCCCAACATGCTACTATCGCCAAGTTCATTCAAAATGAACTTGACGCTGAACGCGAGAAAGTAGCCTTGCTTCACCAACAAGGTTCTCAACAAGCAGAGTTGTTGAGAGAACAAGGTGCTCAACAGTTTGAACTGTTGAGACAGCAGCAGGCTGCTGCTGGCGGGTCGATGCACTCGCGTCGGCCCGAGACTTTGAAGATTGACATCTCAAAGTATAGGGGGGTCGAAGAAGACTCCCTCTTGAGATGGTTCGTCGAGGTGGATGACGCCATAAGGGCGCGTCGCATCGACGACGGGGATATGCAAGTTGCATTTGCCCAGTCAAATCTGGCAGGACGTGCCA